CGGTTCAGCGCTCCGACAAAGACAGCTGCACGAGAGGATGGGCTGGGGAGGGCTTGCCAGAATAAAGGAAGAATATATAACAACTATAGCGGTGCTGGCTGACTGCACACAAAAACCCACCGGGATCCTGTACATCTGTGCGGTAAAACAGACTTGTTCAAAAGAAATATTAAAGTGATTCACTGATGTGATACCCTAGACAGGAAATCCAGTGAAAGGGACTAGAGAAGCTAATTTTCAAGAGGGCTTCACCTGAAAATGTTGTACCTCTCCGGTCTGCAGGTAGCAGTACTGGTCTGAGATGATTAGCACATGCAGAAAAATTTGAGAAGCACAAGCGTCATGCCCATAGCCTGGATGAGCCTCTGAACTTCATGAACAAAAGGATTCTTAAGCTTCATTTTGCACCATAACTTAAGTGCATACCAAAGCCTGTAATTAATAAATCACACTCTCTGAATCAGAAGTACTTTCCGAGAGCGGTTTCTCAGGAATATTAAGGTTCTTGCCTCTGAATCACAGTGGTTACTGGGAATTGTGCTAGATAATCAGAGAAGAAACAAGTTCTTTCATATTTCCACAAGTTGGGATATAATTTTTTGGCTCCAAGAAAAAGAAAGCCACTTTCCTAACTATTGCAACAATTAGAGGCAATCCTCTGAACTCACCTCAGAACAAGGTACCTGGTGGCACCACCTGCCAGCTGGAAAAAACACCCTTTAGAAAAGACAACAGTTCCAAAGAGTTTTCTAACGAATCTGTCCAAGCAAGGAAGCTGCCAGCTTCTTTTGTCTTCATGGGAAGACATTATGGTTGATGCAGGTTAGTGTCCTGCCCGTTACCTACACTCTGCCCCAGGCTCTAGAGACACAACCTCCTCCACCATCAGGAAGCTGACAGACTCCAAGGCACCTCACGTTACACTGATTTGGCCTGGTACGGGTCTCAGGGATGCAAAGATTGCCTAGATGAATTCCTGATGACTGCCACTAAATACCTATTTTTAGGCTTAGAAATTTATTTTGTATTTGCCTTATGTTCCTCAGTACGGTTCCTTTTGGTTTATTTCTACCCATTCACTAACTCCTACAAGATGGTTGCAAATCAGAAAGGTTTGTGTGTGGAGCAGCAGAGTGTGACAAACATGCATTCCTCAGTATTCACCAACTCCAGTGGCTTTGGTGAGTAGGAAGATGATCAGAAAACCTAGGGAAGTGTCCCCATCAGTAGATATTCATGCCTTTCACTGATCCACTTCCCCTCTGAGAAACTGAAATAGGTGCCAAGAAAACGGGTAATGAAAATAATAAAAGCAAACCAATACCAGTATAATAAAATAATACAGAGCATGCTATCAGCCTTTTCTTCCTCGGCTGTTTTCCACATCCCTGTACCTCTGTTTTGGGGGTCTTTTTGTGACCAAGTGAAATTGCTCTTACACATCTCATTCAATGTATGGGCCGAATATGTGTGTGATTTCTCTTTTTAGAAAGCTGCACGATTCAACTGTTGCCTGTGAAAGGAACTGCTGTTGTCCATTTACTGAGGTGCATGTTTTCTGGAGAGACGTTTCAAAATGTTTCCCTCCATACTCCCCATTTCCTTCACCAAAACTCAGCTTTTAGGTTCCCAGCAGTTCCTTGCAGGCAACGGTTGATGACAATGAAAAACTTCACCAGCACTGGCGCGCTCCTTCAGGTCAGAAATACCTGCTGTTTCAAAGGAGATCAAGCGGAGGCACCCGGGGAACAACACTCATGTTTTCAAAGGTGTCCTCTACACTTCACAACCTTGAGCGTCCATCTGTGACTGCTCGGGGGACAGCTCTTTGAAAGCACCGAGTAACACAGAAATCCAGCTCTGAAGACTAAGTGCTCTACAACATGCTGAGGCAACTAAAATCAGCTGTGTCCAAAAATCAGAAGTTAAATTTTCAAGTCCATTCCACAACACTTCCTCAAAGTCACCCAGAAATTCAGCGTCCCTCTATTCACTCTGGACCAAGTACCTTAACCATGCTTCAATGCACTTCCCACAATACTCTGGGAATTGATCTGTGTATTTATAAGGACAAAGAGGGCTGATAACACACGCAAATTGGTGTATATGGTGTCCTTCATAGTACAATCTTCCTTGAAAAGATAAACTGCTTTAAAGATTTTCCTTAACATTCTTTCAGGTAGCCACAGCCCCCACCCAATGCATAAAATATCAACCGAAAAAAAATAAGCCCTCTCCATAGAAAAGCCTTTTGTCTGCCCCATCCTCTGCACTCTGCCCTTGGGAGGGCTCGTAACTGTGGGCCTGAAGGAAAGGCTTGGCTGTTGGATTTGCTGTGAGGCTGGAGTAGACAACATATAAAGTTACAGATAAAATCAACAGAGAGGAAACATTCTGTAATACACTCTGTAACATGGCTGTTTGCCATCCTTCACTCTCAAATTTTTCTGCCAAAGGAGGAAATAAATCTGAAATTGCCCCTGTCTAAACAGCCCAATGCTGGCTTTCAGGATTAGGTTAACATCTCTTCATCCTAACTGAAGTACAGTTTTCCATCCAGCATGTCTGCCAAATCCACAGGTCTCTAATAACTAGATTCTGCAGTCTAAATACAACGGTTTATATAAAACTGGTAACGGGTTTAAACTGAAAGCGGGGAGATTTCGATCAGATATCAGGAAGAAATTCCTCCCAAAGAAGGTGGTGAGGCACTAGGACAGGTTGCCCAGAGAAGCTGTGGATGCCCCATCCCTGGATATCTTCAAGGCCAGGCTGGATGAGGCTTTGAGCAACCTGGTCTAGCGGAGGGTGTCCCTGCCCATGGCAGGGGGGTTGGAACTAGATGGACTTTAAGGTCCCTTCCAACCCAAACCATTCTGTGATTCTATGGTTAAATGTCTGAAATTAGGAATAGTCAGTGGAGGAAGGAAACTATCGTTAACCTATTAATGACATAAATAAAAACAGAAGGTTAGGCAGGATCCCCTTGGTGGCAAGTCCGAGTCACCTGCTAGGGAGGGAAGTGGCCTGGGGATCCCTCCAGGAAAGAGCATACAGGTCCTGGGTCACTAATGCATAGAATCATAGAATGCAGGAGAGAGGAGAGAGTCCTGGGACATCATCCAAGTTTCCACCCAGAGGGGATACTCCTAATCCCCAAGGACAGGAGCCTCAAAGCCATGGGAGAGGCAGAGGGAAGGCTGCTTCTCCAACCCACCTGTTCTTTAGCATGCCATGAGAGAGGGAGCCCTGAACGCGAGTTACGCAGCACCTTCCTCTGCTGCCTACACAGCAGGGATGGCCCAGAACCCCCTGTGCATGCAAGTCTCACTTCCAAATGCACATGGCAGAGCTCACCTGGAGCCCTTCCAAAGCGTGCTGCCATTTGTCCTGTCCCTCAGCCCTTGTGCAACCTGTGAAGGGTGATGTCAACAATGCATGCACCCCCAGTGCACAGGCTCCTTGCCAAGCAGCTCAGAGCCTTCAGAAAGAGTAGGGTATGGTAAGATCGCGAGCTCCTCAGTGAGGAACAAGGGGTAAGGGACTGAGCTCAAACATTACGCCCTCAGGCAGCAGAACAAAGCCCAGGAGGGGGAGAGGCACCAGCAGAACAAAGCCCAGGAGGGGGAGAGGCACCGGCACCAGTGAAAATGGAGCTTGCTCTTGCACAGACAGCTCTTGCACATGCATGACTGTCATCACACAGAGCTTCATTTATGTGAGATGGTTGCCCTGGTCCTTCTCCCTCCTGACAGAAAGGAGGTGAAGAAGTGCTCAAAGCTCCCTGCTTTCATGCAGCCTGGAAAAACAAAACCATACAGCACATTTCCCCAGTTTGAACCATATGATTGTGGATCAGACCTTTAAGCTGGTGTAAATCTACCTAGCTCTGACATTTAATGGGCCGGGTGATTCATACCAGTTGAGGGATCTGGCACTCTGTCTCCTGTATCAATTCCAAACAGACTCCATTTCAGTGGCTACCTAGAAAGCCATTTCTGGGCTGTCTCCAACCACGTGGGCAGAAGTTTTATTCATTAGACACTACATTTATTTGAGCTGCCACCAGTTCATGGGCCACAAATCTCAGAATGTGCATATTTCATTTCATTTCTCTCCTGAGTCCTGTACAAAAGCAATGGGTTGCTACTCCTCCTAGCTTCTACTCATGCTGAGAATACTGTTTGATGACAAGGGCAAGCATTTTTGTGCTTTCTCTCTGCGAAAACACCCTCTCATTTTAAGTCAGACAACAAAGTTTTTCTGCTTATGTAACTAAATTTTATGGTCAGATTAATCTTTTATGATACACTTTACTGAATGAAGAGGTGAAGCAAAGGGAAGATGCTGCTGTTGTCTTTGAAGCCTAGTTCACAGAGAGCTCAAAATAACAGAGGTGTGTATAACAACTCATAAATCCGCACCTCAAAACCTCATAAACCTCCAAACCTGCTCTTGGACAAAAGTACCCATGCTCATCATTAGTAGTGACACTTCAGAGATTTAAATGCCAATGAATAGGTATAATATGCAACACAAAATTAATTCTGACTCATGCTGAGCCAGCTGCTAAAGACGCACACAGCTCCTGCAGGCTGAACCTCAGCACCGCCCCACTGACACAAAGTCCAATTTTTAAAAGCGCACATTGTAGGTTTTCCAAACTCACATGGATATGTAAAAAAAACCCAAGGTGTATCACCTGCATTTTATGATGTAAACCAAACAAAACCCTATAGTGTGTGGATGACATATTTGCAGTGAGGTGCTGGAACTAAGTGTCCCAGAAGAACACTAGAAAGCCTCCTTCCCTCATCAGGAACATGGTAGAAGACAAGAATGTTCACCAGGACATTTTTTGATGCTATTGTGATTCAGGGGAGAAATGGGCACCATGGCTACATCTTGCTCCTTATGGGGGTATGGCCTGTGCCATGACCTGGCAAACTTAAAAAAAGACATTGCTCCTGGAATCTTCTCACCCCACAATGGAACAACAGTGTGTGACAAACACATGCACAGGTGAAGTTTATTAACCTTTACCTCCCAGTGAAGAAAACCATGTTTGCATTTGGCATACTGAAAACTCACCCAAGCATAACCAGTCAGCAGAGGAATGTTCATTTAAATCATTCTGCTGGCATCAGGGTTAGAGCAGAAAGATCTGATGTATGATATATGTCCAACCAGTTACCTCATTAAGTAACTGGACAACTCAAAATGTCCCCAAAACCGTATAGAGGAGGCGATTCTCATTTCCCACCTTCTCTGGGTGTGGTTAGGCGGATAATCCAAAGGAATGTGTTTGTGTGGTCTGCACGTGCCCGTAACAGCCTGATCTAACTTTGAAACTACCTTTTTGGGTGGTGCTCTAAGCAGAGGGCTGGATCAGGAAACCTCTAGAAAACCCTTCCAGCCTGAATTACTCTAGGATCCAAGGCTGGAAATGAGAAGGTGCCTCACAACCACAGGACTGATAGTTCTGAAATAACTTTCAAAAAAATGAAAAGCAGCTTGTTTAAAGAAGCAGGCTAATAATTTGTGAAAGCAATCATATAGCAAGGTTGCTTGCAAAGGGTTAGACATTTGTACCATAAGGTTCCTTTCAATCCCACATTCTTAAACCCCCATAAGCTTTCCCTTACAGCTCTGCATTTTACAGTGTCTTTGAAATCTGCAAGCACATCCAGAAGTTTGCCATGAATTACATGTGCTTCTTGAGAGATGGCTGCTTTATGCTTTGTTCTGACACATTATGAGATTGAACGGAACAACAGTTGGGAAATATTCTTTGATTTTTTGTTTAGATATGAGCTACTGCAGAATTTCTATTCTCTACATTAACTTTCCCACTCTTAGAATTATGTTTCTAATGTAAATACCACTTACAATTCATTCAAGCTCATTCATAACTTTTTTGCTATTACTCCATGATAAATTTTTGTTTAACAGGGATTCTTGGCTTGTACTCCAGGACACGAGCCCACATCTCAAATATATACTTCAGCAAGTTTCTAAATGCACAAATACTGTCAGTTTGAATGCTTTACAAGTTTTTAAAACTAGTTGCTTTGTTTATTAATTCCGATCAGTTACAGTGCATGTTTTATAATTGTATTACCCAATTTAAATATATTTTCTAAGCCTGCAACAACAGAAACCAGCTCTGTGAAACTTAGTAATAGGCACAGCTCAAAGCTCACTCATATATGCTTTGCTGGGTATTGATTGTAGCTTTAACATTAGCTAATTTACCAGTTAATAACAGTGAGGGATACTACCTTACCTGACAAAATGAGAAGCTCAATGATGTCTGCATCTCCCAGGAATGATGCAACATGAAGAGGAGTTCGTTTCTCAGCATCCTAAAAAAACCATAGATTGTCCAGTTACAAAACCTGGTCAATAGCTGCAAGCATTAGAGTTAAAGAGCAATGGATTCACATCTAGTGTTTACTTCTCTATGTGTATTTCTGGTTATAATTAGAAATGCGTTCTCAACTAGCAAAAGAACAAATTTCAAGGTCTGATCAACACACTTTCACTCAATAATCCTCAACTTTTTTATTACTCGGGTCCACCAGACCTTGCAGAGACACGGTCTTCACTCTGACATCCTATTTACAGGTAGATCAAATCAAATCTAAAATCAGGAAAGATGTCACCCCTGGGTCTCTTTCAGAAACACTTCCCACTCTAGGTATTGCAGAGATATAATTCATGTGCTTTTGGACATCAAACGTTGCAATGCAGTCTGCATCAATAATGCAACACCAGAATCCTCAAAAGGCTATCTCTGGAGAATGGTTCGAAACCTCACACAAGGACAAGATGCAATCCTCTTAGTCTACAAAAGTTCTTGTACACCATTTAGCCTGGGTGACTACTGCAGCGCAAAAAGGGCTCATAAGCCTTGATCGACCTTTAAACACGAAGAAAATACTACCAGACGGGTCTGTATCTTTAAACTTAGAAGAATTGTAATAATCATATACACAACTTCTGAAATACATTCACTTTCATTGGATTTCTGTAATTTTCAGCTGTAGGGAGTCACCTTTTCATGATTTTTTTTCTAACTTAAAGGAGTATAAATACAGTGTTTACAAAAAAAAGCACTTGATTTTATTGCTTTATTCAGATGATTCCAGAACACAGGCCTTTAAAAGAAACTGTTAAACACTGTAATATGGACAACAAAAATCACAACAACTTCTAATACTGCTCATTATACTCTTTATGCCTGTTTCCAGTCTTAAATGTATTTCATTTCCGTTTCCTAACCACTTATACAAAAAAAGTTCTAAGAGACTTATCAGTCAAACTTATCAAATTACAACCTACCAGCATTAAATCCTGTAAGCTGGTAACAGATTCAACACTTCCCGCAGGTGATACCAACACAGAAACTCTACTGGTATTTACACTCCCCTGAAACGTATCTCTGAGCCTGTCAAGTAAAATACCACTCTTAACATGCCCAAGGTTTTCATATTACCTACCCTAAGGCTATCTGTGGCAAAAAATATGCTAAGGCTGATTGAACATTTGTACAAAACCAGAATCGGTTTTATTTATCTTTTACCTTGTTTGTTTTAATGCATGAACCTCTCTTTAGTACAATGTAAGATTTGCAATAGCTATTGTACCTCTTGGATAAACTCTGCGGCAGCTTCTTGCAACACAGCCAAGTTTGGCAACAGAACAGAGTAGACTGAAGTTGAAGGCTAACGATACAAGACCAAGCAGATTTCTCTATCAAGGAACCAAGGATATTCAGTGCTTTGTTGACTATCCTAAACGGTAAATGTGATGGACATTTGATAGTTGAAGGAAGAAAGGACATGAAAGAGAAAAGTAGAATTTTTATCCTTCTGTAATAGGAATAACTGTCTATAAGTATTCTCAGCTTTCACTTTTTAAAATCAATGCAAAATCCTATTTAATTGAGAATCGAGTCTGCAGAGAAAGATGGGTTTAGTCATGCAACTGAATTTAATCTTAATTTCTCCAAAAGGAAAAAAACCTAAAAATTCTCCATTGATCCGAAGCCGGACAAATCAGAGTTCACCCTCACATGAACTAGCAGGCGACAGAACCCAGCGTGTGGTGTAGAAAATGAAACACACGCGGGAGAGCCCTAGGAGCAACGTTCAGGGGTTTGGCAGGGAGAAGGCTGCGTGCAACGCCTGCAGCTGAGTGTGCAGTTGAGCAACTCAGCGGAGGAACATCCTCAGGTTCCTGTTTGCGCTCTGCACAAGGCTGACGCAGAAGCAGAGGAGCTGGGGCACCTGCCTATCGGTCCAACCACACTCGTGGTCCTCAAAGCCATCTACTGCTTCCGCGAGATCCAAACAGCTCCCTGGCTTTGCATCTGGCCCACGCGCTAACGTCTGTCCAGCTACAGATGTCCTCCTGGCACGGTGGTAGTAAAAGGAGTCCACATAATTACTAATGACCTAAAGAGTGAAGGCTACGAACAGAGAGGGAAGAATTAAAAGGAAACCTGCCATTTCAGGGAAAGGTCTGGCAGTACCCTAGGCCTGAACATACATTACTATCAAGGCAAGGGAAGGAGGTGGGGGAAGAAATGATAACAGCATTATGACAAATAATCAGAGCTGCTTCAAGTGCAGTTCTCAGAGGAACAAAAGGTCAGTAAGAGACAGTAGATAAGCTAAACAATGGCTAGAAGATCATGCTGAAATGAGATAAACACTCTCTCTCCAAAACTCTATTAGTGACTTGTATCAGTTCACAGAAAAGACGATGCTGCACGTTAACATTATCTGTACACATTTTTTTAAAGAAGTACAAATAAAGGAAATTAAAAATTTAACAATCCAGGACAGAAGGCCTCAGCACATGCTTGAACTATTCAAGTGATCCCAGTGCCACTGATAAGGCCCTTCACGGGCTTTGGTTAGGCTAGTCCTTAAGTGCTTTGTTGGATCAGAGCCCTCGAGTACACGGAGATTAGCAGCACAGAGGCTCACAGGAATCACAGCAGCATGTGTAAAATACTCAGGCACATTAAGGAGGTGGCCAACAATTTCTCCTCAACGCAGCCTACATCTCACAGGAGACAACTGATTTGAACTTTTGCATCAGCTGTCACTGTTCAGATCTGATGATGTTTGGGACGGAGTTATTTACTATTAAGTTGTAAGTGCAACTGCTTCAGCAAATAAATGTCTGTATCCTCCTTCTGTCACCAAACTGCCCAAGCAGCCAACAGGAGTAGTTGAGAAAGAAAGGAGTTAACACACCACGGAAACTGAGTTAATGAAGTTTCACTGGTAAGAAGTGTTTGGGTTCCCATCCCTTCAAGCCCCAGGATCTGCCCAGGTGGCAGAATAAACTGAAGGGCACATGAATGGCTACAGCTTCCATCCATACAAGTCTAACAAAACAATAACAAAACAAACCTCCTGCTCATGAGCTCCATGTACTGCTGTTACATCTGAGCACACCTGACTGAAACAGCACAAAGTAGCCGGTACCATTGAAAAAAACCAAACATTCAGATACAACTTGACTTCAAGAAAATAAAATATTGGGAATAGTTAGGAATTACTGAAGAAGATAAAAGCAAAGGTGCAGCTACTTCTTGGCCTGTTTACAACCATTCAGAGCCAAAGGCTGATGCTATACAAAGAAAATCTCTGCTGCTTCAGGATTTGGTGGATGCTCCATCCCGGGAAGTGTACAAGGCCAGGCTGTATGAGGCTTTGAGCAACCTGGTCTAGTGGAAGGTGTCCCTGCCCATGGCAGGGGGGTTGGAACCAGATGGTCTTTAAGGTCCCTTCCAACCCAAACCATTCTGTGATTCTATGATTTCCTCCCTCTCTCAGATTCTTCATTGAAGCCTGTAATTCACAACGCGAATCTAAATGCTTAAAGTCAAGCTGTGTAACTTACGGCTGGTGTTCTTTTTTCTGCTATTTCCAAGCACAGAAATTCCCATCTGAAATCACAGATCCTGGTTCCAGCACCTCTAATCTCCCAGTCTCCAGTTTAGCCTCAAAAACTAAGTTTTTTCTGGACTGTATTTAATTGCCAAGTGCCCATGAGGTGGAAGAGGCCAACACTTTGATCTTCTAGAGATGACAAAAATTATCTTCCCTGTCTCCCCTCATCTAACATTTTCCTTCCACGGGGCTGACGGTAGCTTTCATGATAAAAAGAGATAACATTTTAATTAATTACTAAGCCTGGATTGAAACTGTAGAAATTGTTATCCTACATTAATGGAAATGTTTTAATGTTTATAGCAGTGAGTTTCCAACATAAGACTCAAAAGGTAGAGTTAAATAGCTCCTCCATTTTTATAAAAGTAATACTGACTTTGGGAGGGGGGTGATGGCATGGAGCACACATCGCTTGCGAGTAGATGTGTAAAGCAGATTTAGAAAATTCAGGTATTTCAGGCTGACACTGCTGCCTTAGGAGAAAATAAAGCAGCTACAGCCAAACCTTGCCACGAGCTTTTAATGGCCTATACATCCTTAACTGTCTCAAACATTTTGAGGATAATAAAACATGAGTCACCAGCACAGGTCCATATATATGTGTGTGT